CGGCACTGCTTCTGGCTTTTTCTGTTTATGTGGTATTGAGGAATCGAACCCTCATGCATGCAAGGCAAGCACTCTACCACTGAGCCACCTTCCCAGCCCCTTATACATTTTTTTTTTTTTTTGTCGGTCATGAGGCTTGAACTCTGGGCCTGGGCGCTGTCCCTGCACTCTTCAGCTCAAGGGGAGCGCTCTACCACTTAAGCCACAGCGTCACTTACGGTTTTCTAGTATTTTATTGGAGATAAGAGTCTCACGTATGGTCCTGCCCAGGCTGGCTTTGAACCGTGATCCTCAGATCTCAGCCTCCTGAGTAGCTAGGATAACAGGCGTGAGCCAACCGGCACTGGCTACATGTTTTAAAAATAGGAAAAACTAATCAAGAGAGTTAAGGGTGATTTAACAGGAAGTGTAGATAGTTCAGTAACAAGATTTATAATAATGGACAGGCTTAGTTGTTTGGATGCATATTTATTCACTCAAAAAAATGTTTTTCAAATGTTAGGGATCCATCCAAGGGTCTTGCACAGGTGCTCTACCTTGAGCTACATCCCTAGTCCCTCATTCCACATTTTTTTAGTATTACACAAGAAAACACTGGTGGATGAGATAGGGAAGTTCTTGCCTTTATGGAACTCACATTCTAATTAGTAAGCTGTATAGAATCCACTATTGTTTATTCTTGCAAGAGGCAAGTGATTGGGGGAAATAGTATTGTGTTCTGAATTAGCTAGTAAACTGATTGCTTTTGCATGTTGCTGAATCTGAAAGGCAGTAAGCAACTTTCATCTGTAGAAAGCCAGATTACCTGCTTATTTGTAGCAGAAGTAAGTTTTTTATTTATTTAGATATATTGGGGTGGTTTGAACTTAAGGCCTCAGAAGTTTTGTTTTGTTTTGTTTTCATTTTTATTTTTGTGTGACATAGGGCTTGAACTCAGGGCCTAGATGTTACTCCTGAGCTTCTTGTGCTCAGGCTTCTTTTGCTCTACCACCTGAGCCACATTAGGCTTTCTTAGTAGTTTTTTAGGGATGAGAATCTCATGGACTTAATTGCCCAGCCTGGCTTTGAACCAGATCATTAGATCTCAGCCTCCATGAGCCACTGGAACCTGGCTAGAAGTTGCATTTAAAAACTTTTTATTTTTTTTTATTTTTTTGGGGTCCAGTCGTGGGGCCTGAACTCTGGGCCTGGGTGCTGTCCCTCAGCTCTTCAGCTCAAGGCTAGTGCTCTACCACTTGAGCCACAGTGCCACTTCTGGCTTTTTTCATTTTTGCTTATGTGGTGCTGAGGAATCGAACCCAGGGCCTCATGCATGCAAGGCAAGTGCTCTACCACTGAGCCACCTTCCCAGCCATTTAAAAACTTTTTATCTTCAAGAATTTGTACAATGGAGTTGCAGAAGTTGCATTTTAAAATTAAGTATATGATTTGCTTGCTGTATAGTTTGAGCTCTTTGATTATATAGTGGGTCTAATTTATATCTCTATTATCTCCTTCCCACCAAGTCTGAGAAAAGAGTTATTTTACTCCTCTTATTAAAAGCTTTTAGGGCTGGGAAGGTGGCTCAGTGGTAGAGCGCTTGCCTTGCATGCCTGAGGCACTGGGTTCCATTCCTTAGCACCACATAAGCAAAAAGAAAAAAAGCCAGAAGTGGCGCTATGGCTCAAGTGGTAGAGTGCAAGCCTTGAGCTGAAGAGCTGAGGGACAGCGCCCAGGCCCAGAGTTCAGGCCCCAAGACTGGACCAAAAAATAAATAAATAAAATAAATAAATAAAAGCTTTTGATCTTGTCTCTTTAGGTCTCAGGAACTCATTCTTATGACTTCTTTCTCTGTTTGTACAATTTTTCCAGATCTTTTGATGTTTCTTCTTTGGCATATGAACATGTTTATATTTTTTTCCTTACAAAGTAAATATTATACTTGAGAAAATTTTCTTGATGATCAATAGAAACAGCCTACAAAATCTTTATTTCTTGATCCTAACCACACTTTATACCAAACTGATGACTCCTGGTTGCATTTTTTCTTTTCAAACCTTGTGCATGCTAGGCACTCTGTCACTGAATTATATCCATCATCAGCCATTCTTTGCATGTTCAGTGGGGCTTTTTAGTTTTTATCTTAACCTGGCTTCTTGTTATAGTTTTTGACATTAACATTTCTTCTTTGTCATCCTGTGTTATACTGTTCTTCCTATTCCTTTTTGGAATTTCATGAAGTCATCGCCTGTTCCCAGATACTGATATATCCTAGGATTTCTCTTGCCTCTTGTTCTCTGTGCCCTCTACAGATACTTCATTCAGCTCTCTAGCTTTGATTTAGAGAGAATAGACCCATTCTCTGTAGTTCTAGACACTGTCTGACATTTCTCCTTAATGCTCTCATAAACACATCGTGCCTCTTGCCTCCTTTACCAGACTTCTTAGCAATTTCCATCTCTGTTGATCACACCATCACTGTTCACCGAGTTTTTAAAGCAGAAGTCTCTAGACATGTTGTTTATGATCCTTCAACAATGTTCATGTAAAAGAAGTTTTCTGAATTCTTTCCACTTTGGCTTGAAAGTCCGTTATAAACATTTTTGTATTTCTTCTAATAATAAACACCACAAAAAAGAAAAAAGTGAAGACCAAATAACTGCTATTAAAATTTTAATTGTTCTCCAACTATATATAACACTGCTTGAACATAAATAAAATCACCTTGCTGAATGCCCTTTTTCTTTTAATTAGTGTTTAACAGTTATTTCCAGAATTGTAAATAATAATTAAAATTTTGAAAAATTGGGTTTCGTTGACTAAAAATTGTATTTTAAAAATTGATACTAGCTAGGTATTGGTGGTTCATGTCTGTGATCCTAGCTACCTAATTAGGAGAGTCAAGGTTCACAGTCAGCCTGGGCAGAAAATTCTTTGACATTCTATCTCCAATTCTTTGAGACTAGAAGCATGGCTCATGTTGTAGAATGCCAGTCACAATCAAAAATGCCTAGCAAGTGCCATAGGCCCTCTTTTGAGATCAAGTCTCAGTTCTGGCACCAAAACAACATATATACACACACATGCACGCACATAAACCAAACAAATGATAGTAAGGAATAAAGGGTACCTACCCAGAAATAGCTTTGTAGTATTATATGAAGAAATTTGAAACTAAAATAACATAGATCTTTAGTGTTGTTTTTAAATATTGTGTACATATGTATACATGCATAAAAAATAACAATATACCTGGGCACTGTGGCTCATGCCTGTAATCCTAGCTACTCAGGAGGATGAGATCTGAGGATTGCAGTTCAAAGTCAGCCCAGGCAGGAAAATCTTTTGAGACTCCTATCTCCAATTAACCACCAGAAGTGGAGCTGTGGCTCAGAGTGGTAGAGTGCTAACCTTGAGCAGAAAAGCTCAGGGACAGCACCCAGGCCCTGAGTTTAAGCCCCAGGATTGGGAATAAAAAAATAATAGTAACAGGATATAACAAAACTACAGGTGACTAGATGCCAGTAGCACACACCTGTAATCCCAACTACCTAGAAGGCTAAAGGATCCAGGTTTAGAGCAAGCCTAGGCTGACAAATCCAATTAACCAGGGGAAAAAAAGCTGTACATGGAGATACGGCTCAAGTGCTAAAAGAAAAAAGTCAAGTGCGTACAGAACACCTGAGTTGAAACCCCAGTACTAGTACTAACACGCATGCACGAATCGAACCAAACAGAACACATCCTGCATGTGTTCTTTAAAAAAAAAAAAAGCCTGGTGCCGGTGGCTCACACCTATAATCCTAGCTGCTCAGTAGGCTGAGATCTGAGGATCATGGTTCAAAGCCAGCCCCAGTCCATGAGACTCTTATTTCCAATAAACCACCAGAAAACTGGAAGTGGCACTGTGGCTCCAGTGGTACAGTGCTTGCCTTGAGCTGAAATGCTGAGGGATAGCATCCAGGCCCCAGAGTTCAAGTCCCACAACCAACAAAGGAAGCTAGGAATGTCCCTTAGTGGTAGAGTGCTTGCCTAGCATGCATGAAACCCTGGGTTCGGTTCTCAGTACCACATAAACAGAAAAAGAAGTGGTGGTGTGGCTCAAGTGGTAGAGTGCTAGCCTTGAGCAAAAGAAGCTCAGGGACAGTGCCCTTGCCCTGAATTCAAGCCCCAGGATAGGCAGAAAAAAAGGGAAAGGGGGCAAAACTAATCCTTGGGATTGGTTGAAGAGGTGGCTCAGGCAATAGGGTGCTAGCCAGTTAGGGAAAACATTAGGTACTGAGTTCAAGTCCCAGTCTTGGACCTAAGAAAAAGGATACAATTTGTAAGCTAGTTTTGTTGGTATTTATAAAGAAATTTGGGGAATTTATTTATAATCCCTAATCATAAGCCAGCTGAATACTTGAAGGCACTGTATCACTGAATTGTTTCTTTATGGATACTCTTCTAATGGGCAGTTGCTCAATAGATGCATGGCTCATAAGTTCTCTTGAGAGACACCTACATAAATACTATCTTTAAATAACTTGTCCTTTAACTTTAGATTTTTTGATTCTTCTATCTGTTATTACCCAGAAGGTAGTTATTTGGGATAATCTGCTAATGGCATCTCAGTCTTTGTTACAGTAAACATTATAACTCATTATAACCTCAATAAGCTGTTGGTTAGTAATCAAATCCTTTTGAAGAGGATGATATTAAATACCACATTCTTCTTTAGTTTGAGGTAAAATTAATGTTTATTCAGTATTGTACAAAACAATCATTTGGTTGAAGTTATTTGATATATCTGAAGGCCAATATTATGGTTTTTTGTTTTTGTTTGGTGGTGCTGGGTATTGTACCTTAGGTTTTGTACATACTGGGCAAATGCTTTACCAACTAAGGTAATACTTCTGGCCTTACTGTTACAGTTTTCATTGAGAAGCAGATGTTTCAAATAGAATTGTAGGTAGAGATTGAAAGAAGCATAAAAGTCTTCATAACATTAGATTTATATTCATGCATTTTGTCCCAAACAGATCAGTTACTGGCACAATGAACTGGAATAAAGGTGGTCCAGGCACTAAACGGGGATTTGGTTTTGGAGGTTTTGCTATCAGTGCTGGGAAGAAAGAGGAACCCAAACTCCCACAACAGTCCCACAGTGCCTTTGGGGCAACTAGCTCTTCTTCTGGATTTGGAAAGTCAGCTCCACCACAGCTTCCTTCTTTCTACAAAATTGGATCTAAGCGGGCCAACTTTGATGAAGAAAATGCGTAAGTGTAATTCCTCATGAGTTAGCAGAAGTGGACCTTTGACTTATTCAATCCATCCATTGGTGTTGAGGCAAAGAAACAAAATAATACATTGGTTTTTCTCAGTTGTGTCATTCCTAATAAGTTACTTATTTGTAAGAAATATAATAGTTATGTGCTCCTTGAACCTTTTTTTCATTTCCTGAGTCATACTGAAAGTGTATGGTTGCAATATTTGCGGCCATTGATACTTAAATACTACTTTTAGTGGTCTTTGATACAGTCTTTTATTGATACCATATAATTTTTTTTTAATTTTACTTTATTTTTTGCTGGGCCTGGGGCATGAACTCAGGGCTTGGGCACTGTCCTTAGCCTCTTTGTGCTCTAGGATAGCACTCTACCACTTGAGCCACAGCACCACTTCTGGCTTTTTCTGACGATAAGAGTCTCACAGACTTTGCTTCCCCAGGATGACTTCAAACTGTGATACTGAGACCTCAGCTTCCTGAGTACCTAGGATTACAAGTGTGGGCCACTGGCACTAGGCTCATATAATTTTTTCATAAGCATATACAACTGTAAGAATTGGTAGGAATAGTTTATCTTGACATCTACGTTTTAAAATTTATTATGTTGTAACATCTTTAAAAAGTTGAAAATTTGAATTTTTTTTCTGTAGTTCTCAGAAAACAGTAATTTATAATTTTTTTATTTTACTTGTCAAATAAGGCGATGCTAATAAACAGCTGGGGTTTGGTTAAGTTTAGCTCTAGGTTTTATTTATTTATTTATTTTCTAGAACTTGATAGCCCAAGCTATCTTCAAGTCATGATCCTCCTTTACCAGCCTCTTGAGTCCTGGGATTGCCTACATGTTCAGTTATTTATTTTTGCTTTTTTCCCCCAATTTTTTTTTTTAAAAATTTTATTTTACCGTAAAGATACTGTACAGAGGGGTTATAGTTACATGAGTAAGGTAATGAATACATTTCTTGTCTAGCATTGTTAACTCCATGTTCAGTTTTGAACTCTAATTTCTTTTTTTTCTTTTTTTTTTTTTTGGGGGGTCCGGTCCTGGGGCCTGAACTCTGGGCCTGGGAGCTGTCCCTCAGCTCTTCAGCTCAAGGCTAGCACTCTACCACTTGAGCCACAGCGTCACTTCCGGCTTTTTTTCTTTTTGCTTACGTGGTGCTGGGAAATCAAACCCAGGGCCTTATGCATTCAAGGCAAGCGTGCTCTACCACTGAGCCACCTTCCCAGCCCCTTGAACTCTTAATTTCTATAGATTATTTCTCTATTAAATCTGAAGAACACTCCCCTTTCCTCCCTCCTCCTCCATTCCCCTCCCCCGCGCCCCCCAGGTCTGTGTGTGTGTGTGTACATGCTCCTATACTGACACTCAGGTCCTAGGTGCTGTCTTTTTAGTTGTTTTTTTTTTTTTTGGGGAGGGGGGGTCCGGTCATGGAGCCTGAACTCTGGGCCTGGGCACTGTCCCTCAGCTCTTCAGCTCAAGGCTAGCACTCTACCACTTGAGCCACAGCGCCACTTCTATCTTTTTTCTTTTTGCTTATGTGGTGCTGAGGAGTCGAACCCAGGGCCTCAGGCATGAGCCACCTTCTCAGACCCTCTTTTTAGTTTTTTTATCAAGGTTGGGCTACACCTCCATTTCTGGCTTTTTTTTTTGGGGGGGGGGGGTCCGGTCGTGGGGCCTGAACTCTGAGCCTGTGCACTGTCCCTCAGCTCTTCAGCTCAAGGCTAGCGCTCTACCACTTGAGCCACAGCGCCACTTCCGGCTTTTTTCTTTTTGCTTAAGTGGTGCTGAGGAATTGAACCCAGGGCCTCGAGCATGCAAGGTAAGCGCTCTACCACTGAGCCACCTTCCCAGCCCTTTTTTTTTTAATGGTTAGAGATAGATAAGAGTCTCATTGACTTTTCTACCTGGGCTGGCTTCAAACTTCAACCTTAAGTCTCAGCCTCCTGAGGAACTAGAATTATAAGAATGGTGCCTGGCAAGAATTTTTTTTTTTTTTGGTCGGATGTGGAGCCTGAACTCTGGGCCTGGGTGTTTTCCCTCAGCTCTTCAGCTCAAGGTTAGCACTCTACCACTTGAGCCACAGCACCACTTCCAGTTTTTTCTGCTTATGTGATGCTGAAGGACTCAAACCCAGGGCCTCGTGCATGCAAAGCAAGCCCTCTACCGCTGAGCCACCTTCCCAGCCCCATAGATCTAAAAATTAAAAAATAAAAATAAAACTGTCCTAGAGTTTACAACTTTTCTACCTAGGTGCTGGACTCCATGCCAACTCCACAATAGCATTTTAGAAAGCCTAATACATTATTCAGAAATTAAATATAAAATTATCCTAGCAAACCTCTAACCAATTGAGGATATTTTTCATTAGTTAGACTTACTGGATAAGTGAGTGTATATTATTGTATTTGTTTATATATGACATATATTAACACGCATAGATGCCATTGTTACATGTAGTGTTTATCTGTCTATAAACTTGACAGTGCTGGTGTTTGAACTCAAGGCCTTGTGCTTGCTAGGTAGGAACTCTACCAGTTGAATCATGATTAGTAAGTGAGTCCTTAGCCAAAGATTTGAAAGTCTCTAATTTGATTTGCATAGTACTCTCTTAATAATAAGATATACAGGGGCTGGGAAGTTGGTCAGTGGTAGAGTGCTTGCCTTGCATGCATGAGGCCCTGGGTTTGATTCCTCAGCACCACATAAGCAGAAAAAGCCAGAAGTGGCTCTGTGGCTCAAGCGGTAGGGTGCTAGCCTTGAGCTGAAGAGCTGAGGGAAAGCGCCCAGGCCCAGAGTTCAGGCCCCACGACCAACCAAAAAAAAAAAAAAGAGAAGAAGAAGAAGAAAATAATAGGGGCTGGGAAGGTGGCTCAGTGGTAGAGCACTTGCCTTGCAATGCTTGAGGCCCTGGGTTCGATTCCCCAGCACCACATAAGCAAAAAGAAAAAAGCCGGAAGTGGCACTGTGGCTCAAGTGGTAGAGTGCTAGCCTTGAGCTGAAGAGCTGAGGGACAGCACCCAGGCCCAGAGTTCAGGCCCCACAACCGGACCCAAAAAAAAAAAAAGAAAATAATAAGATATACCATAATAAAAGTTCATGCTATGGGCTAGGAAGTTGGCTCAGTGATAGAGTGCTTGCTTGCATGCATGAGGCCCTGGGTTCGATTCCTCAGCACCCCATAAGCCGAAAAAGCCAGAAGTGGGGCTGTGGCTCAAGTGGTAGGGAGCTAGCCTTGAGCTGAAGAGCTGAGGGACAGAGCTCAGGCCCAGAGTTCAAGTCCCATGACTGACAAAAAACAAAAAAAATTTTATGCGAAATGAAGACTTTATTGTCTCTAAACTAAGTATTCACTTCACCAGTCAGCATTTTAATTTTTAGATACTTTGAAGATGAGGAAGAAGACTCCAGTAATGTTGATTTACCTTACATTCCTGCTGAAAACTCACCTACACGCCAGCAGTTCCATTCCAAGCCAGCAGATTCTGACAGTGATGATGATCCCTTGGAAGCATTCATGGCTGAAGTGGAGGCAAGTATCAACATTTGTTTCATTAAAATAGTTCAAAAATAGTGAACAAGGACTTCCTCCTCTTCCTCATTCCTGCCATTGGTTGCCTCCTTTGCTTTTTCAGAATTTTGTTCTCTACTTCTACTTGCCTGGGGACTGTCCCTGAGCTTCCTTTGCTTCCTTTTCTCCAGGCTAGCACTCTACCACTTGAGCCACAGCACTTATGGCTTAAGGATTTGAACCTAGGGCTTCATGCATGCTAGGCAAGCACTCTACCACTAGGCCACATTCCCAGCTTAAGGTTTTATATTTGTGAATGAAGCATTTTTGTTAATTTCTTCATGCATGATACATGAATTGCAGGTAAAATATCTGCAATATTGTGTAGTCCACATACAGACAAGTTTCTAAAACATTTGGATATTTGCTTGAAAAAAAAGTTAAGTACTTTGTTTATATCAAAATTCAATCAAGGGGAAGTGGCACTGTGGCTCAAGAGGTAGAGCATTTGCCTTGAGCTGAAGAGTGCAGGGACAGCACCCAAGCCCAGAGTTCAAGCTCTACGACCGACAAACATTTGATAAAATTCAATGAAAGGGTTGGGAATATGGCTCAAATAGTAGAATACTTGCTCGTAAGCAGAAGGTCCTTAGTTCAAACCTCTGTTTTATCAAAATGTAGTTGTTAAGGCAAACAATGAAAACTATTATGACAGATATTCCACTCTGCAAATTTTTTTCTTGAGTTTTTCCCCAGGCCAGCCTGGATTGTGATCCTCTTATTCACACCACCAATCTAGCTACAATGACAGGCACATGTCAACATGCCCAGATTACTGGTTGAGATGGTCTTGTTAACTTTTTTTCATACTAGCCTCAAACTGCAATCTATCTACTCAGCTGTGCCTGGATTAATCTGAAGACTTCTGTTTCCTCCTTTCCTCTTTCCTTCCTCTACCTATAGTAACACATGTCTATCATTTATTTGGACAGTTCTAGGTTTTGAATTCAGGTCCTTAACACCTGCCAGCCAAGCACTTTACCAATTGAAACATATCCCCAGCACTCTAAGCTTCAAAGTCTTGAAAGAAATTTTGCTCTCAGTTTTTTTTTAGTTCATATGATTCCATACAGCCTTTTTGTTTCAATAGGATCAGGCAGCTAGAGATATGAAGAGGTTGGAAGACAAGGACAAGGAAAGGAAAAATGTCAAGTAAGTAATTTTCTTCTTCAGAAAAGTTACCTGAAAATTGCTAAAGTATTGCAAAGACTATGTCACCAGTGTTTATAGGAAAAAAAAAATCAAAGTATATAAAAATGTCTTAAAGATTTCCCTTTATCTTGATTATCTGTGTAGGTATATAGATGGCAGAAGTCTATATTTGCAATAATTAAAAGGCATATTCTATTTGGTAGAATAATATTTGGTCTTCAATTATAAACAATTGTTTGGGAAACAAAATGAGTTACAAATGTGGGTTGGGGAGAAAATTTATTAAAGTTTGAGTTCATTGTCCTATTTTTCATCCTATGATTAAAATAAAAGATTAATATCTGTATGATTGTTTATGAGAAATAATGGTGATTATATAATATAAACTGTATTAGTAACTATAGGCAGAACTTTATTGCTTTATTTCTGGGAAAGACAAGCCCTTTTCTGAGCTAAATATATATAATATATATGTTTTGTTTTTTCTTTTCTTTTGTTTTTGATCGTGGGGCTTGAACTCTGGGCCAGGGCACTGTCCCTCAGCTCTTCAGCTCAAGGCTAGCACTCTACCTCTTGACCCACAGTGCCACTTCCGGTTTTCTGGGTGGTTTATTGGAGATAAGAGTCTCATGGACCTTCCTGCCTGGGCTGGCTTTGAACTGCGATCCTCAGATCTCAGCCTCCTGAGTAGCTAGGATTATAGACCTGAGCCACTGGTGCCCAGCTTGAGCTGAATATATTTTTAAAACTTTTCCTGACAGGCCTGGTTAGCTTTTTTCTCCCTCTGCTTGGCAGAATGAGTGCTTCAGGTTCTTCCCAAGATTCCTGTGTCATATGAAGTATCAACTTACAAACATATGCTTGTTGTATATGGGATCCTTCTTCCAGCTTCACTACATGGGTGGTGTTGCTGATGGCCTTAGAAATTGCATTTGTTCTGAGTCAGGTGGAAAGTGTTTGGAAAGAGATGCTTATAGGAGCTAAACAAGCAAATTTTGAGGAATGCAGGAGGTGTATTTTTCTTCTGTGTAAACTGCTTAGGAGTCTTACTTCCAGACTCTGAAAGGTGAAAATATAATTTTCCTTTCTATCTCCCCCTTCCCTCCCCTAGGCAGCTGATTTTGTCTGAATGCAATTACTCTAGAGATAGAAACTTTGGGAAATAATAAGAACATTGTATACCAAATGCGGGGTATTTTTTTTTCTCTTTAACAATACAACTGTGTTGTCTATCTTACCTTTATGAAGCAAGTTTTTACTCTTTATACTGATGATAGTTACTAATGTTTATATAGTTACCATATCATCCCATTAAAAAAAATGTGAAGTGTAGGTCATAGGGAAATCACACATATATGATGAGTGTACAGTTTACAGTGTGCTTATTTGCTGCTTTGTTATTGTTAGTGTTGAGAGTTCCTGTCCTGTATGGAATTCAACACTAATCTTCTGTAAGTATGGAGCTGGGTATGTGGAACATTTGCAGGGAAGTTTGTTTCTCCGCTTGTTTTTCCAGGGGTATTCGAGATGACATTGAAGAGGAAGATGACCAAGTGAGTTCCTATGCAGTATTTCTATCTTTTATTTTTACCCCACAAAGTCTATACTAGGGACAAGGTAGAGTTTGTCTTTACTAAAATGGCCATTATTGACATTCATCAGGGAATGTCCTTTTTACCTGTGGGACCAATTGGTAATATTTTAAAGATTGATGTGGCTTCCTCTCCATGTTAAAGATAGAACCTTTGATCATCTGACATCAAAGCAAATACAGCTTTATTCCGCTTACTTTTTAAAATCCAAAAGTGTCTATTCTGATAAATCTGTTGGTAGCCTCTAGCAGCATCTAAGTGCTACCTCTTTCTAAGGGCTCTGTTTGTCATTCTTGTATTTCATGGTGGAATGTTAATGACTGGTAGTTAGAATTTCCTTTTGCCATTGTTCACTTGTGGGATGGTAAGAGTCAGAGTGAGCAGTGTAGCCCTTTCAAGGTTTGTGACTTAATCACTGTCAGCTTCCAAACTTGGACTGGTAAAGCCAAAGTATGTGTTCTGTAGCCCCCAACCCACCCAGAAAAACTGGAGCAGACAGCTTTGTAAATTATTTACCAAACAAGTTAAATCATTGTGTAGTTCTAACTGCCTTGCTCATTTCTTCTGAGTACCATTATGGTAAAAGGAGTCTTCACTAGTGAAAGTCTTGTCTTGGTAGGTATTTATTTAAACTCATAAGGTCTTCCGGTATACTATGTGCACTAATTACAAGAAGAAAAATGTTCTTAGCTCGGCTTGGGAGTGAATGCATCCTTGTGCTTTCCTGCAGGAAGCTTACTTTCGGTACATGGCAGAAAACCCAACTGCTGGTGTGGTTCAAGAAGAGGAAGAAGACAATCTGGAATATGATAGTGATGGAAATCCAATTGCACCTTCCAAAAAAATTATCGATCCTCTTCCTCCCATTGATCATTCAGAGGTATGGTGTTTCTTGCTGAATTTGAGTCTTGTTTCCCTGAGTTTAATGTTTAGGTTTTCCCAATAGCTGAGTGCTTTTTCTACATATGTGAACTGTAGAAAGTAGAGGGTTTTGTTGTGTGTTTCCATACATACATACATACACACATACATAATGTACTTTGATCATATTCACTCCCTCTCTTACTCTTCCTTATTTGCCCTTCCTCAAGTACTCTTATGCCTCAGCCTTCTAGGTTCTAGAATTATAACAGTTGTGCACCACCATGTCCAGCTCACCAAAGTATCTTTGAATGCATCTAAGATGAAAATTTTGTTCATCTGTCCTTAAATCCTTCCTAAAAAGTAAGTTTACCCAGGCAAGGTGGCTCAGGCCTGTAATTCAAAGTACTCTGGTTGAGGAGGCAAAAATCTGTAGGATTGAGATTCCAGGGCAGACATTAGAGAGACCCCCCATCTTAAGAAATAAGACAGATGTAGGGGCTGGGAAGTTGGCTCAGTGGTAGAGCGCTCGCCTTGCATGCTTAAGGCCCTGGGTTCGATTCTTCAGCCACATAAGCAGGAAAAAAAAGCCGGAAGTGGTGCTGTGGCTCAAGTGGTAGAGCGCTAGCCTTGAGCTGAAGAGCTGAGAGACAGCGCCCAGGCCCAGAGTTCAGGCCCCACGACCGGACCCAAAAAAAATAAGACAGATGTGATGGCATGGCCTGTTGTCTCAGCTAGGTAGAAGGCATAGGTAGGAGGGTCAGTCACAGTCTGAGGCTGGCCCCAGACAAAAAGCAAGATCTTACCTGAAGAAATTACTAAAGCAGTAAGATTGAGGCTGTGGCTCAAGCTTTTGAGAGATTGTGGGCAAGCAGGAGATCCTGAGGTTAAACCCAGTACCACTAAAAAATATTTCCTTTAATAGACATTTTCATAGTATTAGAAAGATGCATTTAACCAAATTTGTATGTGGTAATGTTTTTACTGTAAGCTGTGGAACAAGCAGCAGAAATGACCACCTCTCTCTTTAGAGTTAAAAATACTTTCTCATGGTCAGATGTGGTGGTACATGGTTATAATCTCAGCACTTTTAAGAGGCTGAGGCCAGAGGATCAAGAGTTCAAGGCCAGATTAGGCTGCATTATCAACTGCTTATACAGTGTCTAAAACTGTTAGATTGGTTTTTTGTTTGTTTATTTTTGTTTTATTTTGGTTCTATGGAACAGTGTTTCACTGTGTAGCACCAGATTAGCCTCTAGCCCAGAATCCTGCCTCAGTCTCCAAAGTGCAGTGATTACTGGTATATACCACCAGATCTGCTTAGTCCCTTTTTTTTAAAAAAAACAAGTACAGAAATCTCCAGATAAGATATTGGAAATGTTTTTAAAATGCTAGTGAACCACTTAATCCAAAACATATTTAAATATTATTTGGTGGAATACCTTTTGTAGGATGTATGTACTCTGAAGTCTTTGGCATTGCAGATATTCCCTAGTCTGCTTCAAGGTTGTTATAATCTGACCTGTCCCTGAGGGTCTTATAGGAAGTCGGTTGGTGTTTAAGTTGAAAATAGGAAGAGGTATAGGTTGTAATTTTGGGAAGATTGTCAAGAGTAAATGAATTTATTCTTTCTAGCAGAAAAGGTTTTATTTTGTAATATTTGTAAACATTTTGCATTAAAATCAAACTTACAGGATTGACTCTTGAATTCTAGACTAACTTTGAATAATTGGACCTGCAGATTGACTACCCACCATTTGAAAAAAATTTTTACAATGAACACGAGGAGATAACCAACCTCACTCCACAGCAGCTAATAGATCTTCGGCACAAGCTCAACCTACGGGTAAGAATCAATATGCAAGTGTTTGAGTATTATTAATGTTAGTCTAGGTTTATTTTTTATTGCTCTCCTAAACCTGATAGCACTAGATTTCTTTTCTAATGATCCCTGAGCTATCTTTGCTAGAGTAACAGTCCCTGGGGCTTATGTGTCTTTATTTGATTGTTTTTTTAGTCTTCAGGTAAGATATTTTAGACTAGGATAGTTTTTGGTTTGTGTATTGTCAGATTTGTATGTTTTATGCTTAGAGGGTAAGGAGTAAAGCATAGCAATCTCTTCAGAAAGAAGAAACAATAGATAACATTTTTTAAATAATGTGATACTTCGCGAATTCTATGCAATGTTCTTTAAAAATAAATAATAGAAATTAATACCTTTTTTTTTCCCTGGGGCTTGAACTCAGGGCCTAGGCACTGGCCCTGAGCTGTTTTTGCTCAGGACTAGCACTCTGCCACTTTGAGTTACAGCACCACTTCCAGTTTTCTGAGACAGGAAGATTTAGGTTCAAGGCTAGCTTAGGCAAGGAAGTCAGCAACACTCTTTCTTAAATACAGGCTGAGTATGGTGGTACCTGCCTGTAATTCCAGCTTCTTTTGGGAGACAAAGGTAGAAGAATCAAAATTTGAGGCCTGTGCAGGCAAAAACGTGATACTTTATTTGAGAACTGCTAACAAAGAAGCCTAGAAGCATGGCTCAAGTGGCAGAGCCCTGGTACCACAAGAAAAAGGAGAGTACATTTTATTAATTTTTGTACTATCTGGTTATGCAAAGTAGAAGATCAGAACAATAGCTGATCAGTTCATCGAATAGTTCAATGGTTTTTATTTCTTGTGAGAAAACTTGTTTAGATTGGAGATTTTTGTAATCTTTTAAAATCAAATGACATAATTATACATGAGTTTTATAGATGAGTTGTTACACTGAAGTTTTGCCTTTTTAGTATATCCTTTTGGCTGCAAATGTATATTTTCACTTCATTTCAAGCTAAACTGCTAGATCTAGCAAGTATACTGTGCTTCAGATGCTGTTTATGTTGAAGTACAAGTCATACCTGGAGTTGTCTCTGTCTCTAGGTCTCTGGCGCTGCACCACCTAGACCAGGAAGTAGTTTTGCTCATTTTGGTTTTGATGAACAACTTATGCACCAAATTCGGAAGTCTGAGTATACACAGCCCACTCCAATACAGTGCCAGGTAAGTAAAACATAATGAAAGTAAAGGAAAGTACAGCAATATTCTGTATCTAGTTGACAAGTCAAAGCAGTAGAACAGAATTTAATGTAAAACTTCGGCTTAGTGTTCAACTTTTCCTTTAGTTAAGGTGGGATGAGAGAATACATATATGAAGTCCAAGAGTATTTTTTTTTTAATTTAAAAATGAAAGAGCATGCCGAGCACCAGTGGTTCACGCCTGTATTCCTAGCTACTCAGGTGGCTGAGAACTGAGGATTGCAGTTCAGAGCCAGCCCTGGCAGGAAAGTCCATGAAACTCCAATTAACCACTAAAAACCGGAAGTGGCGTTGTGGCTCCAGTGGTAGAGTGTTCATCTTGAGCTGAAGAGCTCAGGGACAGCACTCAGGCCCAGAGTTCAAGCCCAATAACCAACAAAATAAATAAATTAATTAAAGGGCATACATATAAATTATTTATTACAAGTTGCTAAATAGCTGAAAAATGTTCTTTCATATCTGCTAAGTACCTTGAAAATATGATATGAAAGTATTTTATGGCCTAAACCTAACAAAAAGATTCAGAATGCGCTATATCTATGCAAGATCTTTCTTGCTGAGTGTATGGCTCAAGAAGTAGAGTACTTGCCTAACTTGTGCAAGTCCCTTGGTTCAGTCCCTAATACTACCCAAAACAAAATGACCCCCAAGATTTGTACATGGTCAAACTTACCACTACCAGTGACTAGAATTTCTTTGTCTTTGACCTAAAAATTTTTGTTTATTACTGAACAAAGTGGTTTCTGATCTCCTATATTGATTTATTCCTATACAGAAGACGTGAATTTTCTTTGTATTGTCTATGCCTTCTCAAGGGGAGGACATTTAAAAATTTTTAGCAGCTCCTTTATAAATTGTTACAAATTTATAAAGTTGAAAAATGGAAATATTCATATCCTGGCCATGGTGACTGATCCACGTGAAGAGAATGGTGTTATTTCCTATAAATCAAGAAGCTATGAGAATGTCAGGTTTTCCTCTCTATTCATGGCTAGTATGTTTTTGTTCCATTGGAAGTGAATGTCATTAATAGTCACTTATACTTTCCTAGGGGGTCCTTCAGTCATTAGAATTAAAATTTAAACTGTATATACTTTCTATTTTCCATTAGGGTGTGCCTGTGGCATTAAGTGGTAGAGACATGATTGGTATCGCCAAAACAGGCAGTGGAAAAACTGCAGCCTTTATCTGGCCCATGTTGATTCACATAATGGACCAGAAGGAATTGGAACCAGGTGATGGGCCAATTGCAGTTATTGTTTGCCCTACTAGGGAGCTTTGCCAGCAGGTATGTACTTTGTATGTTGTATGCCCTTTTTCCATATGTGGGATAGGAAGGGACTAACTGCTAGTCAAGTGGGTAGAATGACAGGAAACTTTTGGGGGAATGGGCAGAGATATTGTGGGAACTGTTTATTATATTGTATACTCACAGGAATTTTTCTTGAGTGAATTCATTTTTCTTTGTAGAAAGATAATGAGGGGCTGGGAAGGTGGCTCAGTGGTAGAGCGCTTGCCTTGCATGCCTGAGGCCCTGGGTTCGATTCCTCAGCACCACATAAGCAAAATGAAAAAAAGCCGGAAGTGGCGCTGTGGCTCAAGTGGTAGAATGCTAGCCTTGAGCTGAAGAGCTGAGGGACAGCGCCCAGGCCCAGACTTCAGGCCCCACAACCGGACCCCCCCCCCCAAAAAAAAAAACAAGAATCTGTAGAAAGATAATGATAAAATCATGACGAGAAATAATAATTCCATGCAAAATTTTAGCCTAATAGAATGAATAAACATGGTTTAGCCATATTTCATCTTCTGTAGTATCATACCTTATGTTCATGCCTTTGGGATATGATAAGGTATTTGTTAGGTTTATACTTTGTTAATATGTTATTAACAACTTTATAGATCCATGCAGAATGCAAGAGGTTTGGGAAGGCATATAATCTTCGCTCAGTGGCAGTATATGGAGGAGGGAGCATGTGGGAACAGGCCAAGGCCCTTCAGGAAGGGGCAGAGATTGTTGTATGTACCCCGGTAAGTATGTCTTGTGTTTAAATGACTCCTTACTCTCTCAGTATGGAAAATAGTTTTGGAGAGAATCCCTTCTCCCCAAATGTAGTACATAAAACAGGGCTGGGAATACTCTAATGAATCACAGCTTCTGGTTTTGGTTTAAGAAAGATTGGTTGGCCAAAATAGCAATCCAGTAAGAGTATCTATGGTCATAGACATATACACTTGACCTTTATTTCAAATAGTTGGGTTTTTATTATTATTATTATTCTCGTAAAAATGGATCTGCAGTTTCTAAAGCATAAAGAATAGAAAGATATTCACAGTGTGGTTAGAACTGCCCAGAAGATTGTGTATGTAAAACCCATGAGTAAGGTTTCAAACCAGGTATTTCAGAATGTATTTTAAGAGTGGTTCTGGCCATCGAATGTAAACCACAAGTAATATAAAGGAAGAATTTAATAGAGTTTTCAAAATCTCTGTTTCTTGGACTGTGTAATATATGTAAATAAAGTTCAAGGATGTCAGACCAATATCTATTACTAAGATTAAAGAATTAGCACTTTTGCCAAGAGTTCAGCTTGAGAAAGTCTCTGTAAATGCCTTTAATTTTTACTTAATATTTACTTTGTGAATCTCATAGGGTCGACTAATTGATCATGTGAAGAAGAAAGCTACCAATCTTCAAAGAGTGTCTTACCTTGTGTTTGATGAAGCAGATCGAATGTTTGACATGGGATTCGGTATGCCTTGAATATATTTCTTCTGTCGTTATGATATTACTTTTTTTTTTTCAACTGTTCTAGACTTAACCAATTTCGTCAGCAAAGAAGTTAAAATATCACATAGTAGAGATACTGTTATAAGAATGTAATAAATGGGGCTGGGAAGGTGGCTCAGTGGTAGAGCGCTCGCCTTGCATGCTTGAGGCCCTGGATTCAATTCCTCAGCACCACATAAGCAGAAAAAAAAAAGCCAGAAGTGGTGCTGTGGCTAAAGTGGTAGAGTGCTAGCCTTGAGCTGAAGAGCTGAGGGACAGCACCCAGGCCCAGAATTCAGGCCCCACAACTGGACCCCCGTCCTCCCCCCCCCCCCAAAAAAAAAAAAGTGTAATAAGTATTTTGGGGAATTATCTCAGGAAAAATATGCTAGTCTAAATGGAGTCAATTCAAAATTGGTTTTGTACAGGGAAGAGTATTTTCTCTGTTTATTCATTTTTATTTATATTAAAAAAAATTGTATTCCTGGGTAGGTTAATGTCAAATCATTAAGATCTTTCCCTTCTGATTTCTTTGACTGTTTTAATATCATCAGCCCAGCTCAGCTATGTGGAGGAAATAGAGAATGATATATGTAGTAGTTTAAATTTTCCTTAACTCTTAGGACTTCTTGTGAGAATTTTACTAAAATGACTTTTTCCAAAGCTGTTAAACTTTATTATAGGGTTTGTGATGTTAATTTTACTATTCTGCTTCTTCCAGAATACCAGGTTCGGTCCATAGCAAGTCATGTTCGTCCTGACAGACAGAGTATGTATGAATGAATCAGCTCTTATACAACCACATTTATACTCAAAAATGAATGCTTGCCATCCTGATTGCCCCTATAAACACTCACAGTTATGAAAAGCAACAGTGATTAATAAGTGAGGTTAACAACCACTTCTTTGGGGGTAGACAGGACCCTAGAGATAACTAGATATGACTACTCATCTGTTTAGGTGATAAAACTAAGATTACAAATTAAATAACTTGCCCAGTGTAGTTTACAGTTGTGTAGTTTACTGCATTGCACATCTGTATAGAAATCAAGACCTTTTCCTGAACCAGAGCAACAGTTCACTTTTGACTAAAAAGTATAATATACTTTGAGTAAGATAGGATCTTTTCCTTTAGCAAATCAGTTTTTAAACTAATTTTTAAATTAAAGTGGGTTTATGTAGAAAAAGCACATTAATTCTGAATATCGGGAAGCTTAGTGGGTTAACTTAGTTGAAAAATCATACTATTTCTTTAACAGAATTTACTTTGCCTTTAGCTCTCTTATTCAGTGCAACTTTTCGAAAGAAGATCGAAAAATTGGCCAGAGACATCTTGATTGACCCTATTCGAGTAGTGCAAGGAGATATTGGAGAGGTAATCCCAAGCAAGGCTGGGTGGGACCTCAGTGGGTTATTTTCATATGGGGTCCTGGAATTAATTCCTTGTTATTGAGATAAAAATTAAAATATTACAAATGAAAGGGTAACATGTTTCAGATTTGCTTTAAAATGTATAAGTTACAGGGAGATAAGTAAAACAAAATTGCCAAAATATTGATAATTGTTAAGGCTGAGTGATGGGTGAGTGTTGATTATGTTCATTTCATATTTTTTGAATAGTTAAAAATATTTTACACTGGGCACCTGTAGCTTACACCTGTAATCCTAGCTGCTGGAGAAGCTGAGATCTGAGGATCACATTTCAAAGCCAGCCTGAGCAGAAAATTCTGTGAGACTCTTCAGTTAACCACCAGATAACCGGAAGTGGTGCTGTGGCTCAAAATGGTACCACTGTGTCTCAAAATGGTAGAGTTCTAGAGCTCTAGGAAAAGAGCTCAGGGAGTTTTAAGTCTCATGACTGACCAAAAAATAAATCAACAAATAAAAAATCATAATTAAAAAATTATTTCAAAAACTTCTTTGTGTGGCTCTGTGGCTCAAGTGGTAGAGCACTTGCCTTGAGCTGAAGAGTGCAGGGATAGTAGCCAAGCCCAGAGTTAAGCCCCACCACCGACAAAACAACAACAACAACAACAACCTTTGCCAGTCCTGGGGTTTGAACTCAGGGCCTAGGTACTATCCTTAGCCTCTTTGTGCTCAAGAGTAGTGTTCTACCACCTGAGCCACAGCACCATTTCTGGTTTTTTCTGAGTAGTTTATTGGAGATAAGGGTCTTAACGACTTTTCTGCCTGAGCTAGCTTCTAGTGATCCTCAGATCTCAGCCTCTTGATTAGCTAGGATCAGAGGTATGAACCACCTGCTTTTCAAAAACTTTTAAAGAAATAAAAAACTCTTTCTGGAAGATTACCAGTGATCTGAGATGGAACTGACTCTTTTTGTGTGGGCCTAGATGTTGTCCCTGAGTTTTTGTTTTTCTCTCAAGGCTAGTGCTCTATTACTTGAACCACACCTTTACTTCTAGCTTTTTGGTGGTTGATTTGTGATAAGCGATTCAGACTTTCTGGCTCAGGCTGAATTTGAACTACTTCAGCCTCCCGAGTAGCTAGGATTAACAGGTGTGAGCTACCAGCACCCAGCTTAGTTTGTTATATTTTTCCTTAAATTTTTTTTTTAAATTTATGACATATAATTGTAATAGCATGACATTTCAATACACTTTTATAACATTTGATAGGGTAACAGCATGTCTGTAACTTGAAATATTAATAATTTCTTTGTTATTAAATACTCAAAATTAGAAACATTTTTATCAACAATAACTGTTGCCATGTTTTCTATCTAGTTAGCAACTTAACACTAACCAGTTTTCTTTTCTCTTCTTTTTTTTTTTTTTTGGTCGGTCATGGGCCTGAGCGCTGTGCCTCTCTAGCTCTCTACCACTTGAGCTACAGCGCCACTTCTGGTTTTCTGGTGGTTTATTGAAAATAAGAGTTTCATGGCCTTTCCTACCTGGGCTGGCTTTGAATTGCCATCCTCAGAGCTCAGCCTCTTGAGTAGCTAGGATTATAGGCATGAGCCACCGGCGCCCAGCCAATTTTCATTTTTGAATGCCTTTTGTGTTCATGTTTGAATTGTGCTTGGAACAGTGATTAGAAGTTTATTCCATTAGGACTAATCTAAACATATTTAAAAAGTGTTTTGAAGTATTAGACATACAAATTAGATAGACATGTGTACCAGCCAGGGCGAGGTAGAGAGCCAGTGATTTGAGAGGAGGGATTAAGTTCTGATTTGTACTTGCCAAATTGAAGGAAGGCCCAGAGGGAACAGGAATTGTTGGAAGTTCTTCAGATGTAGACAGAAAACAATGTCTGGTCCTTCGCATGTCCTTTGGCACCAGTATCACAATCATCTGTTTTATTTTCATTTTTTTAGGCAAACGAAGATGTGACACAGATTGTAGAGATACTCCATTCTGGGCCTAGTAAATGGAACTGGCTTACCCGGCGTCTGGTGGAGTTTACTTCCTCTGGGAGTGTTCTCCTGTTTGTTACTAAAAAAGCCAATGCTGAAGAGCTAGCCAATAACCTTAAGCAGGAGGGTCATAATCTTGGACTGCTCCATGGAGACATGGATCAAAGTGAGAGAAACAAGGTCATTTCTGATTTTAAGAAGAAAGACATCCCAGTCCTAGTGGCCACAGATGTTGCAGGTAGAGTATGAATTTCCCAATAACCTTAATCTCTGTGTATAAGGATGCATGTCTTGTAATAAAACCTATAATATCAGAACTGGCTGATTGCATAGCTCTGCAATTCATGGCAGGTATGGCAGATTATTGTTGGCAAACAATAGAAGTTCCTAATATTAGGTAGCCTAGGATCATGGAATCTATGTTGTGCTGTTTCTTCTAGAGGCTAGCTTATGTGTATGTATGGAGGGAAGCTCGCCAAACCTAGGTTAGTTAAGGGAAATGTGGATTCTTTTTAGTTAATTTGATTTTTTGACTGTAGGTGAAAGAAAATAATTGGATTGCTTTATATTTTAGCCCGTGGTCTGGACATTCCTTCAATTAAAACTGTCATTAATTATGATGTGGCACGAGACATTGATACCCATACGCATAGAATTGGCCGCACTGGAAGAGCAGGTGAGAAGGGCGTGGCCTATACCTTACTGACCCCCAAGGACAGCAATTTTGCTGGTGACCTCGTCCGGAACTTGGAAGGGGCTAATCAACATGTTTCCAAGGAGCTCCTAGATCTGGCAATGCAGGTAAGGGGCTGAACATACTTCCGATTGTTCCTGATAATATAACAGACAAGGAAGGGAAATAACAAGCAGGACAAGAAAGTCGGCAGAAGGAAAGGGTAGTTATGAGGTGTCCTGGGATATCTGCACTATCCTCTTGTCATGGATTACTCTCACTTTTCAAGTGACTTTGTTGAAAAGGTTCTCCTTCCTTGCTTGAGCTTAACCTTAAATTGTGTTTATTGCAGAATGCCTGGTTTCGGAAGTCACGATTCAAAGGAGGGAAAGGCAAAAAGCTGAACATTGGTGGAGGAGGCTTGGGCTATAGGGAACGTCCTGGCCTGGGCTCTGAGAACACAGTAAGTTCAAACTATCTGTGAATCAGAATTCTGGATTTAAAAGCAGCACTTTGGTGGGGGTGCTTTACAGTAGCAGGTTTTAAATCTAGGGCCTCATGTTTGATAAGCAACTACACTACTCATCCAGCCCTTTTGCTCTATTTTTCTAAGGGCCTAGAGAGCGATCCAGCCTCAGAATGCTATCCTCCTACCTACACCTCCCACTTAGCTAGAATTATAAACTTGGGCACCACACCTGTTTGTTGATGGGAATCTCACTATTTGCTTGAGTTTAGTTTGCTACTGCAACCCTCCCAATCCATATTTAAATTTTCCTGATTGTCACCAAGATTTCTCTCTTTCTCTCTCTTTCTCTCTCTCTCTCTCTTTTAATATAGGTACTGGAGCTTGAACTTGGAGCCTGGGCACTATTCCTGAACTCTTTTGCTCAAGGCTATTTATTGCTCTACCACTTGAGCCACAGTTCTACTAGGTTTTTGGTTTTTTTTCTGTTTGTTTTGACTAATTGTAGATTAGATTCTCACAGATTTTCCCTGCTCTGGCTGGCTATGAAACATGATCCTCAGATCCCAGCCTCCTGAGTAGCTAGGATTACAGTCATGAGCCACTGGGGCCCAGCTGTCCCACACTTTTCATTAGCATCAATTGTACAAAGAGATTTCATGTGACATGTCCATAGATGCATACAATGTCAGGTTCTTCCCCTCTGTTACTCTCCTTCATCTCTCCTCCCCCATGACTAATTTTGTTTTAGCCTAACTTCAGCAGATTCAAAATATTTCAATAACTTTTAAAATAACAAATCAATTTATTAATAACAAATTTGACAGTATAATATTCAAATTTTAATAATTGGAATTCAGCCAGGCACCAGTGGCTCACTCCTGTAATCCTAGCTACTCAAGAGGTTGAGACCTGAGGACCCACAGTTCAAAGCCAGCCCAGGCAGAAGTCCATGAAACTCTTATCTCCAATTAACCATCAGAAAACTGCAAGTGGTGCTGTGGCTCAAGTGGTAGTGCATTCGCCTTGAGCTGAAGAGCTCAGGGACAGTGCCCAGGCCCAGAATTCAAGCCCTAGGACCAATAAAAAAATAAATAAAAAATAATTGGAATTCATAGCTGTGTGGTTAAATACAAATTCCCATTTATTTACTTTTCTTAAAAGTAAGTCAGTCTTTAACCCAGTAAAAATAAGTGCAGGTAGTAAAATTGAAGCGCCTAAAGTCATACACTTGGTAAAAGTTGAAGCAGAGACTCTGATCCTTAATGGTCTTGATTCACAGCCTAAGCAGTTACATAATGTGCCGTATTGATTTCTTTTTCATCTTTAATGTAATTTTTACTTAACTGAATCCTTATGTAATACATAACAGTGCATTATAATCTGACTGCATTTCTGATTATTAACTTTATTTCTCAGGAATATAATTAGTGGGTTTTGAGGTGTTTACATTTTTTTGGTGGGGAGAGGTCCGGTCGTGGGGCCTGAACTCTGGGCCTGGGCACTGTCCCTCAGCTCTTCAGCTCAAGGCTAGTGCTCTACCACTTGAGCCACAGTGTCACTTCGGGCTGCTTCTGCTTATGCGGTGCTGAGGAATCAAACCCAGGGCCTCATGCATGCAAGGCAAGCACTCTACCACTGAGCCACCTTCCCAGCCCCAGGTGTTTACGTTTTAAAGTGACCCATCATTGCTGCACTTTTTCTCACAAAGCATTAATAATTTTCTTAAAAATACCTAGCTCCAGTTGCACTGCAGTTCTTGCCTCAGAGATCCCATCTGTATAGTTGCTTTCCCACCTATTCTTCCATCTTCATCGGTGTGTTTATTTTTTAGGACCGAGGAAATAATGTAATGAGCAATTATGAGGCATATAAGCCCTCCACAGGAGCCATGGGAGATCGGCTAACAGCAATGAAAGCAGCTTTTCAGGTTTGAAAATTGACATTTCATTTAAAAAGCTATTAACAGTATCCTTGGGCCTTCCTGAGATGGTGTTTAGCTTGTAGACTTCATGTTAGATTTAGGACTTTCTTACTGCTTAGAGTTCACATACAAACTTAATAGTAGCTTGCCTAGAGAACAAATGTAGAGTTTGAGGAACACATGTGCTGATCATGTGTGAGACAGTATTTCCACAGTCTGGTGTTGCCCCACCTCTAAGGCAATGTAATTGGCATTTTAATTGCCTTCTTTTGGGGCTGAGATCAGTTTGATTCTGTGACCTCACAAGAACTCTGAGCCTATCTTTTTTTCCATACTACTTCTAACTAGTTGGCATTTTCACTAGGTGGGTCTTAATGCACACATTTTATGGGTCTCTATACTGATGGTTCCAAGATTTTGGGGTTTTTATTGATTTAGGAATTCAGAATTTGAGTACTTATTTATGTTAGCTTATGTTCATTGCACAGAGGAGAATCTCATTGCTATATTCCCACACACATGTTTCACAGTCCGTTCCACTTTCTCTCCTTTTAGCCATTCTTTTTCCCAAGTTTAGCATGTTTTTACAAGTTGCAGTCTATTTCAGCCATATTAATTCTCTTTCAAAATATATTTCAAAATTGTTCACCTTTTTTCCCTTCCTCAGCTCCTTAGTAGTCTCTTACACTCATGTTCTGGGTTCATCTATATTTATACCTAAATGGATCTGTATCTTTTAGGTTTAGATTCCACATGAATTAAAACACAATATTTTGTCATTTGAGCTTGGCTTGTCTCAGTATGGATATCCTCCAATTGCATCCATTTCCATTTTCCATATTTATTCACCTGGGTACCTTGGCTAAGGTTTACTTTTTAGATTTGAGAACAATAATGTGATACATGGTGTGACATTTAACACCCTAGTAAAGATTATTATTAATTTTGAAACCACATGATAGATGGCTATTTTTTGTGTGTGTCATTGGGTTTGAACTCTGGGGCCTTCGCACTGTCTCTGAGCTCTTTGGTTCAAGGCTTGTGCTCTTCCATTTAGAGCCACAGCTCCACTAGTGTTTTTGTGTTTAGTTGGAGGTAAGAGTCTCATGGACTTCCCTGCCCAGGCTGGCTTTGAACCAATATCTTCAGATCTCATCTTCCTGAGTAGCTAGGATTACAGGTGTGAGTCACCAGCACCCTGCTGAATGATATAGCCTTTAAAGTTCAAATTAGGTTTTGCTGTCAAACTCAGCCTGGAGATCAGACACAGGGCCTTGTTACATGCTAAACAAACATTCTACTGCTACCTCTAGCCCATTTAACATGTAATATATAAGCCCCTGTCAAACTTTTAAAATATTTTGAGTGTTCAGAACTTTTGGGGGGTTTTTAACTTTAAGTAAAAAACTGTAGACCATAAATGTGTCCAACTTTTATACACAGTGGTGCTTTATTCTAGCCTATTAGGTGTAATTCTCAGTACATTGCGTCCGTCTCAGTTCTTTACTGCACAAGAACAAAAGGGCTTGTATTGTAAGGCCATCAGGATACTAGTCAAAACAATACCAAGATATCATAGCTAATCTCAAGTTTCTGTATACTTTCACCATTATCAAGCTTATATATACCCAAGTTTCTTGAACTCAGGTGTTTTTGTTTTGTTTTGAATACTCATTCTTGGTGTCTCTTTTTTAGTCGCAGTACAAGAGTCACTTTGTTGCAGCCAGCTTAAGTAATCAGAAGGCTGGAAGCTCTGCTGCTGGGGCAAGTGGATGGACTAGTGCAGGAAGCTTGAATTCTGTTCCAACTAATTCAGCACAACAGGGTCCCAACAGTCCTGACAGCCCTGTCACTGGTGTCACAAAAAGCATGCCAGGCTTTAGCAATACTGGGAACATCAGCAGTGCACCGGTGACCTACCCTTCCATCGGAGCCCAAGGAGTTAACAACACAGCTTCAGGGAATAATAGTCGAGAAGGGATTGGGGGTGGCAATGGGAAAAGAGAGAGGTATACAGAGAACCGGGCTGGTGGCCGTCATAGCCATGGAGAGAGTGGCAATCGGCATGGTGATAGCCCCCGTCATGGAGATGGTGGTCGCCACGGAGATGGATACCGTTACACAGAAAGCAGCCGGCACACTGACAGCCATCGGCATGGAGAGAACAGGCATGGAGGAAATGCAGGCCGGCATGGTGAGGGTCGGGGAGCAAATGATGGCCGAAACGGAGAAAGCAGGAAAGAAAGTTGTAATCGTGAAAGCAAGGTGGACCCCAAGATGGACAACAGCAAGATAGACAGTAAGACAGATAAGACAGCTGATGGTTTCGCTGTCCCAGAACCACCCAAACGCAAGAAAAGTCGATGGGACAGTTAGAGGGTATGTGCCACAGAGTGAAATCAGTTGTCTTTCATTTTATTTTTAGAAAGATTTTGGTAACTAGGTGTCTCAGGGCTGGGTTGGGGTCCAAGGAATAAGGACCCCTTGCTCCTAATGGAGAATTGGAGTGTAGAGACATTATGCCTTCATCTGAATAACTGTTCAGATGTTTCCTTGGGAAGCTGCTTTATTTAGTCCTGGCATGCAATGAGAGCTGGGAAGCTTCTGCTGGCTCTGAGTGAGTTGTTAGAAGGGTTAAGTGGGAAATACTTTGGAAGAAAGAGCCTTATAGGGCACAAGACTCACTCTAGGTTTGTAAGTAGCTTATATTTTTTACTAAAATGTCACCTTGTAAACATCTATAAATCCAATTCCTTTTCTTAGTTGTTTGGCCAGGCAGTCCCCATTTTAGGAGTTGGCTTCTGCAAACCCAACCCATTGAACTGAAGGACTATTTGAGAAGCCATTTGGTGCTTTCAGATGTTTGCAGGGAAAGGAGCTACCCAATGCTCAGGTTCCCCAGCCAGGTTTGTATCCAACCCTGAGACATGTAGGAAGAAGCCACCTTCCACAACCAGGCTTTGAGAATCTCAGAGCCAGTATGATTGAAGGGAAAAGATGATCCTGGAAAGAATTCTAGGATTGCTCCAGGTCTGAGGCATCGTTAATAAAAATGAAAAAAGAGAAAACCAACAACAGCTTTTAAAGTGTCTATCTCATTGTATTTTTTTTTAAACTTACCCCAATGGTAGTCTTTTGCTGAAATGATTCTGATGATTTTTGTTCTATCTTGTTTATAAAAAGAAAAGAAATATACAAACTTTGAATTTTGTGACTTTGTGAAGGTTTCTTTTAAGATGTGCATTCCTTTCCTGCTTGCTCTCTAGTAAATGTTTTACTACTGGGACCTGCGGACTGTTTGTTATTTCTACCTTATAGTAATGCATAAATTATGATTGGAACAGTGTAGCACATGGTGTGAAACGTGGGGAAGTGTTTGCTTAATTAAACTGTCAGTAAAGACATTTCTTCTAGCTTCGTTTTATTCAGCTAAGGAAGACTTGAGGATTACATGCCCAGCAAGAGGCTACAACAAACCAATTTCCCGTTTATCCAGTGCCCTGTAGTTCTTCATGGAAAATTGTGGGTCTGTCAATACAAGACAGTCTCTCAGTGCTGTCATGGGGAAACCATTCTTCAGGTAGCAGGACATCTTGCCGCTCTGGACCACTGTGGAACTGTAAGGTATCCAAGAGCTCCAGTTTTTTCAGCTGTTATGTAATAAGCTATCTTCCCTTAGTCTTTAGTTGCCAGGGCCCAAATAGCTCAGCTCATTTCCTCTTGTGTTTTTTCTTCTGTTCTTTCCGCTGCTGTGCCCTCTGATCCTTCTTCATTCTGGAGTCTACCACTTTGAAATGACCCCGGACGCCAGCTGGCCGCCGTACTTTACGACCCACACCTTTTTTGGCTACAACATAGGTGACTTGGCGTTTCTCCTTGCCAAGTCCAGCCTTCTTATAGAGACTAAAATAGAAGAAAGCAGGTTAGAGGCCTCTTTTCTAATGCTCCTTTAAGCTAACCCCATGTGACCTGGTGTGTCTCTCTTTACCTTCGCAGCTGGGCCACCTTTTCTCGTTCTGAGATATCCACTGTATTCACCACAGCTTCTGCCTTCTTCTTGGTTTGTTCAAGCTTCTTCAGCATCTGGAAGGGAACATTAGTTAGGTGATACCTCCTGTCCCTGCATACATTTGCTTTTAACATCAGGAAGCCTGAACCAATCACTTACCCTCCGTTTCTTCCTGGCTTTGGCCTCGGCTACTTTCTTGATAGGGCGTGCATTGATTTCCCGCCAGCGTTTCCGATAATGCTCCACTTCCTTCTTATCAATAGGCAATTGCCTTACCCGGTGCTGCTTCTCTTCCTGCACAAACCACTCTGGAAGTTCTCCCTCTTCTTCATTAAATGCATACCTGGGTAGAGGGAAGAGAACACCGGTGTAAACACTAATCACTACTACCAAGTTTCCTAAGGAAGAAATTACCCACTTGAATGATATGTGGGCCCTTTACCGGTTGAAGGAATTATCTATGAGGTCTCTCTTGGCCTTTTTGGAAGAGGCAATCACAGCACCGAGAGCAAGGCCTTCAGCGTCCAAAATCCGATGTTTCACTAGAGAGGAAAGGAATAAGGCAAAAGCCTGATTCCCAACTCTAAAGTTTCCATTGGTTTTGTTGCACTGTGTACAGAGCTCTCACCTGGGTCCTCGATAGGCACTACTTCAAACCCATCATCATCTGATTTAGGCCCACGGCTACGCTTTTTACCACGCGATTGTTTCCAACTGTGGAAGAAGACAACTATGAATATTCAGCCCTCTCACCTTTCAGACCGTACTTTACCTTACTAACCCTGTTTCCTATTTAAAACCACTATGGAACTTGCAGAAATCCTGCCTCTTTAGTACTTAAAGCCAAGGCTAAAAACTTAACCAAACCACTGCTTTTCTATCTTCTCTCAGCTGTGCACCCACTTACCTTGCTTCATCCTCACTGCTACTACTGTCACTGTCTGAACTATCATGTCTGTCTTCCCCTCCAGGGCCAGTGGCAGCTTCTGTGTCCTTAGGAACTTCATCTTGACATAGGGGTGATTTCTTTTTAGTCTTCAAACTAGAAGGTGATACTGATGGTGGCGGTGGTGATGGCTGTTGCTGTTGCTGCCCCTTCCGACGGCTCTTGTACAGCAGCTGGGCCTGACTGATCTCCAGGGCCTCATCGGCATCATCCTCAATCCCACTGAAGCCATCCTATGAAGGAGAAATCAACTGCTCTTCTTCCAAGGAATGCTCATGTCTACTTAGTCTTGCCGCAACCTCCTCTTACCTTTGAGAACCACAGGTTGGCTTGTTCTTCCTGCAGTACTGCCTTTTCTTCCAATGGTACCAGCAATGGATTCTCTTCTCCCTCCTCTTTATCATCTTCTTGAGTAAATTGCACACTATAGATCCAAAGGAAAGTTAGGAGACCTTTAGGGCTTTTCTCACCATGCTAACCATGCTAACTGCCTCAGGAGTCATGCTGAGGGAGGCAGCACAGTCTCCTGTCTTACATACTCCTTACCATTTTTGGTTCTTGACACCCTGATGTCCTCTTAATCCTGCCAGCTCCTCTGGATCTAGGTCACTGTCCAAAGAAGAATCGTCATCGCTCTCGGCGTCTGACACGTAGATGTCATCCCTTGGCAGATCAGACAGAAATGTATCTGCAGCACTCATGTCCCCTTGTGTTACTTCCTTTAATAACTGAAGTGTAACAAAAACATTGTGGATTTAAGGGAAATAATACTTCTCACCATGTTAGTTATCTTAGTTCGTACTCAGCAAATACATCATTCTCCTTTTACAAATAAACCAGCTGCAACCCTCTAGGGTTCTAATCTGTCCCTTTCATTGGTTTAAAAATCTCTCAAAGCTGATCTAGCATTACAGATGATACCTGAGCCTCTTACTAAACTCACTCTCAGAAGGCACCTGAGTCACATGAGAATACCATCTAAAGCTCGTTTTTGGTTGCTCTATAACCCTAGCTTTTTTGGAAGAGGTAATCACAGCACCCAGAGCAAGGTCTTCAGGGTCTGTAATCCTAGTTTCTCAGGGGGCTGAGAATTTAGGATCATGGTTCGAAGCTACCTGGGGTGGAAAGCCCATAAGACATCTCCAATTAACCACAAAAGTTGGAAGTGGAGCTGTGGTTCAAGTGGTAGAGTGCTAGCCTTGAGCAAAAAAGTTCAGGGACAGTACCCCAGGTCCAGAGTCCAAGCCTGGCAAAAACAAACAAAAAACATCTATACACTGTGATGCCACTGAAAAAAGGAGCTCCTGTAACTGTAGTTAACAGAAATGACCCCCTGAATCCCAGAACGTTATCAGTATTTAGCACAACATACCAGAGATTGCAACCAACAATCTGTGTGTGTATGTGTGCATACACTGAGGCTTGAACTCAGGGCCTAGGCACTGTCCTTGAGCTGTTTGTTTGTTTTTTTTTTTTTTGATTGGTGTGAGGCTTGAACTCTGGGCTTGGGCGCTGTCCCTGCACTCTTCAGCTCAAGGCGCCACTTCCAGTTTTCTAGTGGTTTATTGGAGATAAGAGTCTCACAGACTTTCCTGCCCGGGCTGGCTTTGAATTGCGATCCTCAGATCTCAGCCTCCTGAGTAGCTAAAATTATAGGCTAAAGAGAAATTGTTGGGATTATTTTTTCCCCTAAGCTGCCTTTTGCTCAAGGCTAGCACTGTACCACTTCAGCCACAGCACCACTTCCAGTTTTTTCTGTTTATGTGGTACTGAGGAATTGAACCCAGGGCTTCATGCATGCTAGGCAAGCACTCTACCACTAAGCCACATTCCCAGCCCATGCTATTTAAAAAAAAAAAAAAAAATCAGAATAAGCATGTTTTGTTCAATAAAAACATCAGCCCAGAAGCCAGCTACTAGGACACAGTGAACTCAACAGTGCTTCTACAGAGAGACACCCATACTGGTAACCCAGGTGCCTGGTACTTCTTTTATAAACCAAGCCCTTGGCTAATATTTCTTGGTTAGTCTGTACACTTTACAAATGTTCCTAATTTCATCCTTTTAGGTGTATGTTTCCTTTTTGGCCTTTAAATAACGGGCCTTTTTCCTATATCTCCCTTTGTCTCCAACTTCAGTGACTAAGTCATTTTATAGGCAAACAGCAACCACACCCACTGAGCATTAACTCAACCTCCATCCCACCTCTGGACACCTGAACTCCTCTTGTTTTCTAAATCCATACCTCACCAACCCACCTGGTGACCTCGGATGGTACGAAGTGAGAACATGCCAGTCTCTCCCTCATCTGCAATGGAGACCCCAGGCAGATCCATCTTCAGCTCTACACGCTCCCGCTGCTTCCTCTGTTCCCGTAGCAGCTTCTTTTTTTTCCTGAGGGGATAGTTGAGGGAATCTTCAGAGATGGTCACATTTATTCTCTCTGCCTTTCTTCCCCTCCCCCCTCATATTTAGGGGCTTCCTAAGCTGCTCTTCAGCTCCCCTCACCTCTTTAGTTCTGCCACTTCCTGGGCCTTCATCTCTGCCAAGGTCTGGTTTAACTGCTCCTCTTCTTCCTCCTCCTGAGAGCGCTGCCTTGTCTCAGCTGTAGACTCTTCCTCATCACCTTCTTCTTCCTCTCCTGAGCTGAGGCTGAAAAAATAATCCAAGGGGTTTGGTTATTTCCCCAGACATTCCCATAATACCCAGTCATACCTGCGCTGGTTTACTTCCCTGCTCACCTGATATCCAGTGCCTTTGCTTGCTCTTTCAGCTTCTTGGCTACGTATCGGCGAAGCTTTGTTCTCCAGTTCAGTAGGGACCTACCCAGGAAATATCATTACTGATCTAAACATCTCTGTCTCTATCCTTGAGCCCTCCTGTTTTTAGCCCACTCTTCAAATTTCAGTCACAAACTTTTAGCACAAAAAAATCCTAGTCCCCAGAGATGCAACATCATGGTCTTCAAAGTCTTCCTTTGTGTCCTGGCCTCTACCCCTACACCACTTCATACCTGAGATCCTTGCGCCCCAGCACTTTAATGTCCTGACAGCAAGCCCGTATGTCCTCAGTGGTAGCTGGATGCTGTGCCAACTCTTCATCATCTATTGAAATCTATTTGAGGAAAAGGAGTCAGGGAGATTCTTAGGTCCTGTTTCTGGGGACCCTTATCTCCCTCAAGTCTGGGAACTCACTTCGCTGGCCTTGGAGAGAAAGTCAACAGGGTTGGCAGCTCGCAGGAAGTCAGTGACAGAGGTTCGGTGATAGAGAGTAAGGTCACCCTCAGCATATCCTTCAGCCTTAAGACAGGGCAAGAAAGAGAGTTGGAGTATTGGAAGGGCCCACTGGGCCCAGCTTCCCCAGAGTTTCAGTACCCAAACACACCTTTGGCTTCTTCTTAGTCACCAACTCAGTAACAGTCTTAGCCTGAACTTCAACCTCTTTAAAAGCAAACTTAGGATCAAAGAATTTACTATCAACCTTGTCAGGAGCCAGGAATCCTAAAATGATAAGATATATTTAACAGTGTGGTTTGGTAATTGAGAAGCTAAGTCAAGGAACAGAAGGAGGTAATGCTTACCCTGACAGACTACAAAGATTTCTGCTGATTCATGGCGAGAGGCTTGGGGCTTGGTGGCCTGGACACGGTGGAACAGCTGCTGGAAGATCCACAGCAGGGGCTGATAGTCACGGGAACGGAAAACCTTCGTGATAAAGCAGCCACCACGGGCCAAAAAATCACAAGCCAAACGTAGAGCCATCAGTGTCAAGTGGGCTGTGGATAAAAGACAATTGGTGAGAAACTGCAGCCTGAGGGGACAACACCTCCACGCGGACCCTTCTCAAGCTCCACATTCCCTGTACCTTGTGAGTAAGCATCATGGACCCAGCTAGCCCCGACATTGGGGGCCCCATCATTGAGCACAACATCAACCTTCCAGGTCTTCAGCTCCTTCCTCAGGGCCTAATGAGAAAGAGAAGGAATTAGTGAATGCCCACCAAGGGCCATGTCATGTGCCAGGTACTGGAGGTAACAACAGGAAACAAAATGAAAACATATGGCATAATGGCGAATCCATGGGTAAGGACTTCCCTGAATACGGCTGTCCTCTCCTAAATTCCAAACTCTACCCCTGACTATAAATAAGGCTCAGGTGGACACTAGGATTGCTGTGGTCTTTGTCACAGAAACGTTATATAGGCACTGTTCTCAAAGTATGATTAAGAGGAAAAAAATTTGTCTTTAGGAGTTGAGTGTATATGTTTGTCTAAAAAGGACTAGCAGAAGCTAGTGGCTCACACCTGTAATCTTAGCTACTGGAGGTTGAGATATACAAAATCATGGTTCAAAGCTACCTCAGGCAGAAAACTCTGTAAGATTTTACTTCCAATCAACCAGCTAAATGCTAGGCTGAGTCATAGCTCAGCTGAGCAAGCAAGCCAGAGATCCTAATTCAAACATCAGTACCAGCCAGAAAAAAAAAAGGAGATGTTCAAATTACCTGTCTACAGTGTTCTGTTGTGATGTCTTCCTGGAGAGTCACCACATTGGGGAGAGGCTTGATTGGGACCAGGTCCACTCCTGAAAGAAATCAGATCACAGCACTTTAAATGGCAGCCTCAAACAAAAAGAGAAATATACAACAAAGTACTTTATACATATACATCCTAAGGACCCAGAATAGGCACTCACCCACAATAAGACTGGATACAGGCATAAACTTGGCGGCCACCTGCAACCTATTAAAGAAATGAAGATTTTAAAAACTTAGGACTGCCTCTCTCCATTGGAAACGTTCTCTCTCACTCATAACCTGTTAGGTGACACGATCAGAATACACCATCTTTACAAAATCCAAGCCTTTTCTCCACAATCAAGTAGGCAACTTAGCCTCAACATGTAGTGTATACGTTAGTTTAAGGGTGAAATAGTTGTACTGGGTTGCAGGAAGAGATCCTGAATCCGTCCTCCCCAGCGCCAACTCTAAGACACCCAGGGACAGGGTGACATCAGAAGCCACCCATGCCAAATGTTACCATCCTCCTGGTGCAGCACACAAGTCCAGCAAGGCTCGAGCTTTCTGCAGGAACTGAAAGCGGCGATTGAGTTGGATCAGCTTGAAAGCAGAGCGGGAACGGTAACCTGGGAAGTGGAGGTGGGGGGTCCAGATCAATGTCCGCGGAGCACTTTTTCTGGCAGGGCTTCTCCCGCCTCCCAACCCACCAACCCTCCAGCGGACATGGATTCCAGTATCTTGGAAGGTAAAGCGGACCCGGACTGTTTCCTTGAACCCTCACCGGTTTCCTTAGCCAAGTGATAGAACTTGTCCCGCCGGCTCTTGCCAACTTTGCCCTTCTTGCCCATGGTGGAATGTCACTCAAACCTACGATTAAAGTAAAAGTTAGGAATATCTCTGGTCCCGCATTTGACTCGGCCTCGGCTTCCCACTTCCCACAGCAATCACTCACCAACACCCCGCGCCCAGAGTACCAGGTGGTCAGGGCCGCACGTGTAGACCGCTTACGTAATTCCGCTTCCGCTTCCGGGGTCCTTAGCGCCCAAGTTTTTCGCCATCTTGAGTGCTGCCAGAAATTATCTTCCATCTCCAGGTCTTACAAGTTCAAAATTGAGGACAGGAAAACATTACAAAAATCTAAGAATCTAGTCTCTAGGACGCAATAATTACGAGTTCTATGTTTCCGCATCTCCTCCCAGATCCTGACCTGGAGTAACCGCCCCTTCAATCATGGCCCCGGTCAATTACGGTCGACTCGCCGCAGGTCCCGCCCATTGACCTGGAAGTCGTCTTTGCAGGGTCCCAGTCAGCGTAGTCCCGCCTCCGCGCATGCGCGCTAAGGCGTTGTGGATGCCGGCGGACTCTGCTGAAGAAGGAAGATGGCGCTTGATGGGCCGGAGCAGGTATGGCGGCGGCGGCGGTGGTGACGGTGGCTGGTCAGAGGCCGGGACTGGGTGGAGAGGGGCTTTGATGCAAAGTGGGGAGCGGGCCTGGGCCAGGGGATCGGTGACGGAGATCGGTGGATCGATCGATCCAGCCTGGGCCCTGCCGGTACTGGATCTGCTGTGTCAGTGCTGCCCCCGGTGAGCCCGGGCAGGGCAGGACAGGGCCGAGTGCGCGGAGTCCCGGGAGCAAGAACCGACCGGCCAGGGTGCGAGTGCCTAGACCGGACGACTGTCTTTCGTGCCAGCTCGGTCTATAGAACACCTCGGGTTTGAGGATGCCTGCCACAGTGCAGAGGCTCCAGTGCGTGTGGACTTTGGACCCTTCTCAGTCTTCGGAAATCGACGGCATTGCATCCTTTTTTATTCTCATTATGGAAAAAACAGAGGGTCCTGAGGGAGGGAAGGGCTAGAACCAGAAAGTTAAGCCTCCGAAATCAACCTCTTTTCTTTTTTAACCACACAAAGACTGGCAAGGTGTCAGAGGTAGCCTAGGGTCATTTGGATATGTATTCATTCATTCGTTTGTTTGTTTGCCAGTCTCGGGGGTTGAACTCAGGGCCTGGACACTCTCTGAGGTCTTGTGCTCAAGGCTAAACTCTACCACTTGAACCACAGCACCACTTCCGGCCTTTTCTGTTTATGTGGTTCTGAGTGCTAGGCAAGCACTCTACCACTAAACCACATTCCCAGCCCTATTTGGCTATTTGTAACATTACAGGCCATACAAAATTATCAGTGGGGGCAGCAAAGGAAAGCTTAGATGTCTCATATTCTGTACCAAAGCATTTTGTGGCCATTAGTTGATTCCCTTCCTTGTAAAGCCTTGTGAAGTGGCCTTACTTAGTAACCCTTGAATGCTTAGATTCTTGTTTAATTATTTCTATGTATCCTTAGATGGAGCTGGAAGAGGGGAAGGCAGGCAGCGGACTCCGCCAGTATTATCTGTCCAAGATTGAAGAACTTCAGGTGAGGACACACTCCAGAGGGAGGAAGGAGGGAATGCGGATTGATGGAAGCAGATTTCTGCAAATCCGTGTAATTCCATTAGGAGTGCAGTAAAAGAAACTGTTGTTTTCCTAGACTTTCTTTTTTAGGGGAGTGCTTGTAAGTAACAGTTTAAAGTATATGAAGTCAAATTCTTGTTTCCCTTAAATCTCACCTCCTCTGAAGAAAAAAGATGTGAATATTTACATCTCCCAAACTGTTTTTTAAAATCTTTTTTTTTTTTTTCCCAGTACAGGGGTTTGAACTCAGGGCCTCTAACTTGCTAAACCTAAGTGTGAATACAAGACTTTTTTTTCTTTTTTGGTGCCAGTCCTAAGGCTTGAACTCAGGGTCTGAGCACTGTCCCTTAGCTTCTTTTGCTGAAGGTTAGCACTCTACCACTTGAACCACAGAGCCACTTCCAGCTTTTTCTGTTTATATGGTACTAAGGAATCAAACCTAGGGCTTTATTCATGCTAGGCAAGCACTTGTACTAAGCCACATTCCCAGCCAAATGCAAGACTTTCTTAACAGAAAAGATAGAGACTTAGGGAATATGATTTATCAGAAGGGTAGGGGCCAGATGAAATAAATGTATTGAGTCTGGGCTATGCTGATAGTTGTGAGGACTAAATGAGAGGAACTGGACCACCCAGTGCTCTGGCTTAAAGACCCAAGCCAGAGAAGTAAGAAAAAAAAAAGTAAGTGGGGTGAGGGGAAAGCCACAAGGAAAATGTCTGAACTCCAGGTTCATTGCATATTGATTTGCTTTTTTTTTTTGGTCGGTCTTGGGGCTTGAACTCTGGGCCTGGGTGCTGTCCCTAAGCTCTTCTGCTCAAGGCTAGTGCTCTTGAGTCACAACGCCACTTCCAGTTTTCTAGTGGTTTATTGGAGATAACAGTCTCATGGACTTTTGTCCTGGGCTGGCTTTGAACCACTGAGATCCTCAGATCTCAGTCTTCTGATTTAGCTAGGATTACAGGTGTGGGCCACCAGCACCTGGCTTGGTTTGCCATTTTTGAATGCTTTCTACATTTGATTTTATTCATGTCAGTCTTGAAACAGGGCAGTGGATGGAGTGATCGTGTTCAGTTTGGCAGCATCTTTTAAATGCTTTGCCTTTACTTTGCCTCCATTTGTCTGGGTTTTCTTTTTTGTTTTGTTTCATGGCCTTACTCTGGAGCCCATGCTGGACTCAAACTCTCCATTTTCCAGCTTTAACTTCCCAGTGCTGGGATTACATGTGTTTACCACCATGACCAGCTTTTAACCATTTTTTAAGTGACAGAAGCTGGGCTAGAATTCAGGTTTTGCACCTGAAACTCTTTCCAGTGTGTAACATGTTGCTTCTCTGTAAGAAAGTTGCTACCTGAGCCATAATTTTTCTCCATTAGATTCTGTCATTCCTGGACTAATACTGGCAAAAGAAATTCTTTTATGATAGCTATCTTAGGATCCTAAGTGATGCTTGGAGGAAATGGTCATTAGGATCCCAAGTAGTTGCCCTGTACCCTTCCACAGCTCACCTGCCTGTTAGGGTCTTGACCAGTATCCTACTGTCCGTTGTCCTTGAGTAGTCCTCTACATCTTGTTTTCTGCAGCTGATTGTGAATGATAAAAGCCAAAACCTCCGGCGGCTACAAGCACAGAGGAATGAGCTAAATGCAAAAGGTGAGGGGGAGAAACTGGGACACTACATTCAGGCTGGGTTCTGGCTGTTCTAATTTCCCTGACCGGTGTGTGGCCTCATAGCTTTGCTTGTGCTTCCTTCTACTTGTGCTTCAAAGACATGGTTCTGATGACTGTGTGTATGCGACCTTCCCTTTTAAACTTCAAAATGGTGCTTAGCGTGTGCATGTTGAATTGAGTACCAAAGAAAGGACATGCTGGAAGTTAAGTGACCACTGTGTCTGTCTGCCATGTAGTTCGCTTACTGCGGGAGGAGCTGCAGCTATTGCAAGAACAGGGCTCCTACGTCGGGGAAGTAGTCCGGGCCATGGATAAAAAGAAAGTTTTGGTCAAGGTAAAAACATGGCCCCAGGGAGTAGCCCCTCACCCACTGGATTCCCATTCTTTATGCAGCCTCAGAAAAAGAAGTGGTATGTCATGTTATTCCAGGACTCCCATGGATCTTCCTGGGTGAGGTGGCTATTTGGTGGCTGTCAGGGAAGATCATGAGTCTATTGTTTCAGGTGCATCCTGAGGGCAAGTTTGTAGTAGATGTGGACAAGAACATCGACATCAATGATGTGAGTGTAGCAGATGAATGGGAGTTTGGGACCAGTTCTTTGCACACACTACTTCCTGAAACTCGACCCTATCATCCAGGTGACACCCAACTGCCGAGTGGCTCTAAGAAACGACAGCTACACTTTGCACAAGATCCTGCCCAACAAGGTGGACCCCCTTGTGTCACTGATGATGGTGGAAAAGGTGCCAGACTCAACTTATGAGATGATTGGTGGGCTGGACAAGCAGATCAAGGAAATCAAAGAAGTGATTGAGCTGCCTGTAAAGCACCCTGAGCTCTTTGAGGCTCTGGGCATTGCACAGCCCAAGGTGAGGAATCTGCTTCTCTAAGAGGTGGGCTGTACTTACTCTGCCTGCCCCAGGCCAGTTAAGTGCTGGGGTTGGGATGGGCTGCAGTGATTGGACTGCCCCTGCTGAAGACTGGCTTCCTGGGACTAAGGTAGATGGGATACATAAGCTCCAAAAGGGATTTTGGTGTTCTATTTTTTGCATCCCTAGCCTCTTAACAAGGGATCCGGCACTTGATAAATGTTCCCTGGATGAAATGAGACTGGCTTTCTGCCCTGAATCTGCTGTTCCCCTTAGGGAGTGCTGCTGTATGGACCGCCAGGCACTGGGAAGACATTGTTGGCCCGGGCTGTGGCTCATCATACGGACTGTACCTTTATTCGTGTCTCTGGCTCTGAATTGGTACAGAAATTCATTGGGGAAGGTAACAGTGACTGAGAACAGGAGAACCAAATGGAAGGGTGTAGGGTGCTCTGCTCATTAGCTCCTAATGCCAGCATGGCCTCTGCCTGAACAGGGGCAAGAATGGTGAGAGAGCTGTTTGTTATGGCACGAGAACATGCTCCATCCATCATCTTCATGGATGAAATCGACTCCATTGGCTCCTCTCGGCTGGAAGGGGGCTCTGGGGGGGACAGTGAAGTGCAGCGCACAATGCTGGAGCTGCTCAACCAGCTGGATGGCTTTGAGGCTACTAAGAACATCAAGGTAAAGTGGTAAAGGCTTAGATCTGGGGTGACATATAAGCCAGGAAAAGCTGATCCATCCCCCTTCTCTGCTCAGGTTATCATGGCTACAAATAGGATTGATATCCTGGACTCTGCCCTGCTTCGCCCTGGACGAATCGACAGAAAAATTGAATTCCCACCCCCCAATGAGGAGGTCTGTGATGAGTAGTGCCTTGAGTGCCTTTGGCTATGGCTTTGGGGGTGGGGCACGGGACTCTGGACTTTCTTCTTTCTACAGGCACGGCTGGACATTCTGAAGATCCATTCTCGGAAAATGAACCTGACCCGAGGGATCAACCTGAGGAAAATCGCTGAGCTGATGCCAGGGGCATCGGGGGCTGAAGTGAAGGTAACTGGAGTCTCAGGTGTATGAGGCAATGGCAGGAAGCTCTGGCTTCAAGGACCAGGTCAGGGCTTGAGGGGCCAAAGCACCTTGGCCTCAGCTTCCTTTTCCTACTCAGGGTGTGTGCACAGAGGCTGGCATGTATGCCCTGAGGGAACGGCGTGTCCATGTCACTCAGGAGGACTTTGAGATGGCAGTAGCCAAGGTA